CTGGCATACCCTCTCTGGAGGTTGCAAAACCCTGTGCCAGACAGTGGTGTGTGTTCTAGCACTACAGCAAACTTCCTGTCTCCTTCTAGCTCCCTCTCTTCCTGAAGGAGAACATGAAGTTGTTACTCGCTCAGATGAAGGAGGAGGGGGCCCCCTAGGTCTGGCCAAACGGGTACCATTAAGAGAGAGAACCCGCACCGGGGTGAGATGTGACCCTTCTGGGATGGGGAGGTGGCAGGGGAGATGTTTGGGGGAATTCTCTGGCACCAGCCAGCACCAGAGGATTGTGGGTGGGCCTTGGGATGTTAATTGAGTCTGTGTTTGCCCCATGGGCCCAAGGTCTGTCCAGAGTAGGACTAGCCTCTGTTTACCAGCTGTCTGGAACCTGGGGCTAAGAGGTCATGGTCTGGTATAGATTTGTATCACGCATCAGATCAGTGCAGAGAGTGAGGCGGATCTGACATTCATTGACTCTACAAGTGTTTATCGACCAGTTACTGTGTGCCAAGCGGTACTCTAGGTTCTAGATATATAGTAGTAAATAAATTCACATTCTAGAAGGGAGAGACAAAAAAATAAGCCTGTATGTAAAATATATAGCGTGTTAGGTGCTGATGAATTAAAAAAAAAAAAAAAAGTAGACACCGAAGGGGGTTGGGATGTAGGGGAGGGGGTATTTTGATTTCAAATAGATTGGTCAGGGAAATCTTACTGAGAAGACGACATTTAAGTGAAGACTGAAAGGAGTTGGGGAGGTGAACTGTGCAGAGATCTGGGGAAAGAAGGGTCCAGGCCAAGGGAATTGCAGATGCAAAGGCCCTGACATGAGAATGTGCCTCGTGTGTTTAAGGATCAGCAGAAAGGAGACCCCAGCCAGGCTGGAGCAGAATAAGGAGGACAGCAGGAAGTGAGCTTAGGGTGATGGCAAGATCAGATTCCATTAGGATTTATAAACCCGCATGAGGCCTTGGCTTTTATTTGAAATGCGTGGCCTTCCGCTGGGAGGGGCGATGCTGGGAGGGGCGATGAACGGGGGAGAGGCAGGATTTGAGTCTTCAAAGAATCACCCTGGCTGCCCTAATGAGGAGACTAGGAATGCAGAGGGCGGTGATCACTCTTCTACCTTGTTCCTCCCCACAGGACACCAGTGCCTCCCACCTGATACCCTCCCCTGGCCATGGGGGGCCACCTTCCTTCAGCCATCCATCGCCCTTTGGACGGGCTCAGCGCATACCCTCTCCTGGCCCTTCCGTTTTAGTTTGTATCCACCACTCCTGGGGGCTGGGCGAGGGCACAATAGTCTGGCTGGGATCCCTGCCAGGTCTGGGTTTTGCTCCCGCTCAGCCATCCTTCTCTCTCCCCAGACCTCGTATTCAGTGTTGCGGAGTCTTGCCATTCGTCCCCAAACCCAGTTCACGCCTATCCTGTCGGGCCCCAGAGTTCAACAGGTAAGAGGGAGCAGGGAAGTAGCTGACCTCCTGGCCCCGGGTGGGCAGGGAGGAAGGGAATGGATGGGTGGGGAGAGTGATGCCGTCTCACTTCTGTCCCAGGCCCCGTGTTTGACTGGCCTGTCCCCTCAGTCATGTCCTGAAGAGCCTGCCCTGCCCTGGGTAAGTGCCTGAAGCCTTTCCCTGCTGGCATCCTTCGCTGGGTCCTGTTGGCCTGAGCCCAGCAATCGGAGGCAGGTGGGCTCTCTTGGAAGCCCCCCAACCCAGCCTGCTCCTCTGCCGGCTCTCCTAATCTACGTTCAGGGCCTCTCGGCTAACCTGACCCCTTCCTCCTGAGGGTGGCATCAGATTGATCCTCTTCCTGCCCTGGACTGGCTTCCTCACAGAACCCCTGTCCTCCCATGTGGCAGGAGCAGATTGCAGTCCGGTTATTTGACCAGGAGAGCTGTAGGAAGGTGCAGGAGGGGCCTGGGAACCCTCCTGTGGCAACTCCTCCTGGACCCCACCCTGGTACAACCCCCACGCTCCAAGAGCTGAAGCTGCAGGTGCGTCCGTGTGGGTGACAGCCTTGACTTGGCTGATCAGCAGTGACAGAGCTGGGAAGAGGACACAGGCGGAGAGGAGAGTGCGGGAACAGGACCGTGTGGGCAGACAGTGGAACCCAAACACCTTGACATCACCCTGTGTACTCTTCTCCTACCCACAGCGCATCAATATCCTGCAGCAGCTGTTGCGACAGGAGGTAGAAGGGCTTGCTGGGGACAAGTGTGCCCCCCATAATGGAGGCTCCTCTCTGGATATGGTTGAACTTCAGCCCCTGCTGGCTGAGGTTTCTAGAACCCTGAATGCCCTGGAGCATAATGCAGGGGACTTACACCTTCCTGGACTGTCACAGCACTCTGAACTACCAGAGCCCTGCCTTCCAGAGGAGTGTGAGGAACCACAGCCCTGCCCGGAAGCAAAGCTGGAGATAGCTCAGTCCTGCCCTCCAGCAGAGCCAGGGCCCCCAGAGTCCAGCCATAGGAGGGAGCCTGGGATGCCAGGACCCTCTGCCCAGGAAGAGCCTGAGGTATCAGAGCCCTGCCCTCCAGTAGAGCCTGGATGCCTTCAGGTAGACTCCCACAGGCAGATTGGACTCCTAGAGGCCTCCCCTAGGATAGAGCCTGGGGCATCAGAGGCCGGCCCCCTGGAACCTAGAAGTCCAGAGGCCAGCCCACAGCCTTGCTGCCGGCAGTGGACTCCAGCCACCACCAGCCTGACCTTCTCCTCCCAACGCCCACTTTGTGCCAGCCCCCCTATTCACTCACTCCAGTCTCTGAGGCCGCCAACAGGCCAGGCAGGTAAGGAGTTGGTCAGAAGGGCTTGTGAACAAAGGAGATCCTCATCTCTCACTGGGAGCGGGGCCCCTTCCTTGCACCAGGTGGTTCCAGGCATTTCTTTCCTCCACCTGCCCTCGCTCCCCCCCCCCCCCAGCCTGGCACTCTTTCAGAAAGAAGGGAGGAGTTGCACCTCCAGCTCTAATGTGCTCCTAATTGTCTTGGCCCCTGGTTGGGGGAGTGGGAGAGGGCAGTAGATGGTGGGAGTATAGGACTCCAGAGCCTGCCCTGAAGTCTCCTTGGCCTTCGGCCCTCAGGTCCCAGCAGTCTTGCCCCTCGAACCCTGGCCCTGAGGCAGCGCCTCAAAGCATGTCTGACTGCCATCCACTGCTTCCACGAGGCCCGCCTGGATGATGAATGTGCCTTCTACACCAGCCGAGCCCCACCCTCAGGCTCCCCCCGGGTCTGCACCAACCCTGTGGCCACGCTGCTTGAATGGCAGGATGCCCTGGTGAGCACCCCTGTCCGTAGCCAGGCTGTGCCTGCCCAGCGCACCTCCAGAAAACACGGTGGTTTGGGGGAGGGGGAGGAGGCCTGGGCAGGGGGGCAGAGGCGGGGGTGGGGGTGGGGGAGGCGGCACCGGCCTCTACTTCTTTGCAGAGGTCAGTGGGGAAGGGTTGGCTACAGTTCAAGGATTGCTGCGCTGACAGTCTTCTCCCTCTCCAGTGTTTTATTCCAGTTGGTCCTGCTGCCCCACAGGACTCTCTGTCATGATGCATCCACCTCCTGCCCTGCCTTGCCCCTTCCTTTTTAGCCTTTATTTATTGTCCACCCCAGGAGACTGGGAGCTGATACCCTTTATCCTTCAATAAAGTTTCTAAAGTGTCCAAATGTCAGTTTCCCTCTGGGCTGATCTAGGTCAGCCGGAGCTGTTGCTCTCCAGCTGCCCACACGGTGGCAGTGTCCCCCAGCTTAGAAGCAGGCCCTCGGCTCTCCGGATTCCCCAGGAGCTGTCCTAAAGGGACATCCCACTCCTGCCCACCCCACCCTCAGCAAGCTCTGTGACTGTGTGTGTGTGTGTGTGTGTGCGCGGGGGTGTGGGGGGTGGCAAATCTGAACCTTTAAGGACCTGCTCTTCTTGCTTTTTGAGATCAATGCCACTCCCAGGAGCCATCAGCAACGGCCCTCATCCCCTAGGGTCCTCTTTTCACAACTCCCCCGCATCACGCCTAAAGCAGAAGCACCAGACCCCTATCTCTGGAATCCTCCCTTGTTCATGTCATTCTGGCTGGCGTCTCCCTACAGCACAGGCCTCAAAGCTCTCCTGAAGCTGATACTCCTCCCTTTCCATATCAGAGTAGAAGCCCTGGGCTACTCCCCTCCTCTTCTCCCCCCAGAGACAGGCCTTGCCAGGAATAAGTAAACCTTTGCCTCTGGCAGAGAGACTGGTAAGGCGAGAGAGTCCTTGAGAGGAGTGAGGGAAAGGGTCAGCTGTTTCCTCCCACTCTGAACCCAGTTAAGAAGCACACACATTCTCCAACTTCACTTTATTGGAAGAGGCCACAGCAGCTGTAGCCCTAGGGCCTAGGCAGGATGGGGGTGAAATGGGGACTGTACAGAATGCGTTTCAAATGCTAGGAAAGAATTCACTGGTCCCTCCAGTTCACAGGAAGGCTGCTAGGCCAGAGCCTGGAGCCCGAAATCGGAGATGAAGGGAGGAGAGGATGGTAAGAGAAAGTAGTGGTGACAGAGGACCAGCGCCAGCCAGATGTTTCCTCTCCTCCCACCTAGATGGGCTCCTGTTTCTGCTCTCCACCCCCCCCCCCCAGCGCTTCCAACTGCACACGCGCGCGCACACGCACACACACACCACACGACCACCACCAAATACTGCCAGGGCTTGCTTTCCGCTTGCAGCTCCGGGCAGTGGAGCTGTTCCCCAGCTCCCGGCGGTAGGGGGGCCCGACCCCCGCCCCTCTCCGCCCGGCTCGCCCAGGCGCGCGCTCGCTCGGACGCCGGGGTCCCTTCCCGGGCCGCTCTGCTCCCCCTGCCCCAGCCGCTCCGACTCCGGAGCGCGGGGAGTCCCCCCAGCAAGGCCGCCTCCGGGAGCGGGAGGGTCCGCCCCACCGCCAGGCTCTCGAAGGACCGGGTGGCGCCTTGGGTGGGGTCGGCTGAAGGCGGGTGACGAGGGGAGCGAGGGCGGGGGGCGACGGGGGCGCGGGGGGTGGGGCCCTGCTCAGTCCGGGTAGATGATGAAGCCGGAGAAGGTGCTGTACTTGTTGGTGTTGCCGCCGTGCACCTTCCCGCCGTCCAGCTTGATGAAGACTTCGTCGCCCACGTCCAGGTGCAGGATGACGCTGTTGCTGGCGTAGTCGTAGTTCTGGTCGGCGTCCTGAGCAATGGCGCTGGCCCGGACCTAGCGGGGAGAACCGGACGGGCCGCTCACGCCCTGGGCGGGACTGGGGTGGCGGGGGCTTCGGCGGAGGCGGCGCCAGGGTAGCAGGCTGCAGGGGCTGGGAGGACCGGAGGCAGCGGGGCGCTGAGCCAGGCCCTGCCCTTCACTAGCTGTGCGACTCGGCAAGCTGGGAGGTAAGGATGGAGCCGACCGCATACGGTCGTCGGTCGTCGGGACTGAATGAGTTACTATACGTGAAGGGTGTCAGAACAGCGCTTTGCGCCTAAAAAACCCTATACAGCGTTTGCTGTCATCACTTGAACAATAAGATTAGCCTGTGGGATAATTTCTGAGATTTCTGAACCCGCTCTGACCTCCTAAACTTTCATTCCCTTCCCTCAGTGATAGGGCACAGGTGTGTCTGTAGTAGGCAAGCAAGGGTGCGGGCCACGGCAAGGTGCAATGATGCATTCTGGCCTCTGGGTGCCCTTTCCCCTTCCAGCGCCCACTGGCGCCACGACATGGAGGTCGCCTTCCTCCCCAACAGGTAACCCCTTCTTCCCTCTGGCCTCTCTGCTGGTCTCCTCCGGCCTCCAGCCCCTTCCCCACCCCTCCTCTTCCCGTCCCGCGGGGGCTGGTTATTAACTCATTAATTATTCATCATTATTCTAATCACTATTTACCGTCCCCAGGGCCGCAGCGCCCGCGCCGCGGAATACAGAGTGGGGAGCTGCGCCGCCCCCGCCCCCTCAGGAACCGGCACAGTCTAGATAGACACTCGCCCCCTCCTCCTGCTCAGATGCCCTGCATAGACCACACACACCTACTCAGTGCCACATGCACACAGACACTGCTCTATTCTCACACCTTCGCACCCGGCACCCACAGACACACTCGCATCACGCACACGCTCCCTTACACGAATACAGCTCTCCCATACAGACACGCACACTCTCTTTCCTTGGGTTCCTGGGGGGCGGCCCTACTGGGAGGAGACCCCAATGCAGTGCCTGCTAGTCCTGGAGCAGGAGCGTGCTGCAGCCATAGCAGAGCCAGGGTTCGGACCTCCAGGACCAGCAGGCCTGATGTGCCACGGTCAACACCACCCCACCCTGCCAGGCATTCAGAGGTCACCACTTTGCCCCAATCTTACACCCTGCGGCTTGTGGGGCCCAAGCGCCTCCCCCAACTCCCAGCCCTGCGGCCTCCCCTTCCCTCTCTGCGGGTCCCAGTCCTCCAACTGAGTCCTTGGAGCTATTCCCCCAAGCCAAGGTGGCAGTGACTACAACTCTGACCAGAAGCCAGAGGTTGCCAGGGAAGACGTGGGGCCTCTGGAACTAGTCCAAAGCTTCCACTTTATCTGTCCTTTGCCTCTTCCCCCCTCCAAACCCCTTTCATCACGCCGCCTGTCTGGCCGGTGAACTGCCACACGATTTCCACCTCTGCCTCCCTACTCAGTATTAGCTAAGGGTAAGGCCAGCTCTGGTATTGGTCCCGGCCGCTGGGCGAGTGTTGTCTTTTTTACCCCCCCTTTTTTTTCTTTTTTACCCTTTACTCGAAAATCCAAGCCCCCACATGAGAACAGCTGCGGACTGCCCAGTGCCAGAGACCTGGATTCCATTCTAATTCAAAGGAGCCAGACTCCAGGTAACTCGCCCATCATGATGCTGAGGAACCCAAAAGCCAGGAGGGCTGCCTCAGAAATGAGGGTGGGCCAAGACAGGAGGAGAAAAGACGCTAACTGGCAGGGTGAGACAGCAAAGAAGTTTTGGTGTGGGGCTGCCTATAGTTGGATGTGAGGTTGGCAGCTGTAGAGGCGTTAAGCTCTGAGTCCCCAATTCTGATTCTGACACCATTCCTAAGGCTCCGGAGACCCTGGGCAGGTCATTTCCTGTCTCTGGTCCCAATTCCTCCTCCTCCAAATCGGCTAAATGAACCGATTTCTACGATCTTGGCAGCCCGGCCTTTCTGGACTCAGTGACGCCGTTAGGGGAGGGATTCGAACGCAGCCCTCCAGCGTAACGAGTGCAGGGAGATTTGGAGGCTCCCGGGTCTGCGCGGGGCCGGGCGGGGGGAGGGCACCTCACCTGTCCGTTCTTCATCAGGTCGGCCCACATGCTGGTGCCGTCACCGCCGCGCATGAGCACATGGTAAGCGAAGAAGTAGACCCCCGGCATGGGGCAGGTGAACTTGCCGCTGGCCGCCTCGTAAGCGTTCCCGACGTTGGTCACCACGTCGTCGAAGCGCAACACCTCGTAACCTTCGTGCGGCCGCCGCAGGCCCGCGTAGAAGGCGATGCGAGGCACGTAGCCGGCAGGGGGCGCCACCCCGCCGGGGCCCGGGCCGGGAGGACCCGGGGGACCCGGCCTGCCCGGCTCTCCCGGAGGCCCTCTGGGCCCGGGGGGGCCCGGGGGCCCTCGCAGACCTGCCTTGCCGCGCCGGCCCACCTCTCCCTTGGCGCCGGGAGGGAAGGGGGGCACGGAGGCGGGAGCGCCGTCGGGTCCGGGGCCTCGCGGCCCGTGGGGGTCGCACACCATGCGGCAGCGACCCAGCATCTCGTAGTGCGCCGGCCCGCGGGAGCTGTGCACCAGCAGCGGAATGGCCACCAGCAGCAGCAGCACCATGGCCACCCCGACGGCCGCGCCCGCCACCCGCTTGCGGCGGCTCAGCCGCGACGCGGCCAGGGCCAGCAGGTCCTCCTCACTCTTGGGCGCAATGGCGGCGGAGGCCCGGGGCTCTCCGCGGGCCCCGGAGGCGGTGGCCGGGCTCGGGCCTGGGTCGGGCCCCCCCCGACGGCTGCGCCCGGGCCCCCCCGCCCCTGCGGGCTCCCGCCTCAGCGGTGCCGTTCCCCAAACCTTCCGTCAAGGCGGAGGTTCCCGCGGTGAGTTGGGCCAGGGGGCTCCCGACGGCTCGAACCCGTGGTCCTCTATTACCCTCCTGTTCAGCCTAACGTTCCCGGGCGCCTGGGATCCGCGGCTTCGCGGACGGCGGGCTTCTCACGGACCTAGGATGCCTGCTCTCCGGGCAGCTGCTCTCTCCAGGATGGCGGCGCTGGGTCCCCGGCTACCCAGACGGATCGCCCCCGGCCGGCCGGCGCGGGGGACTACTCAGCGCTCTGGACGTCCCGGGCTCGGCGCTGCGGGTGGCGCCCACCGGACGCGACCTCCTGGGAGGTTTGCGCTCCGGCTCGGCTCTCGGCGAGCACTGACGCACCTTTCCACCCCGGCCGCGGCCCCAGCCCCTGCTGGAGCCCCGGCCCCGCGTCTCTCTCCAGCGAGCGCGCTCCCTCTCTGCGTCCCTAACCTTCCTCCCCTCCCTCCCCGGCGGCAGTGCGGGTGGTGTGAGCCGCTGCGCGGCGGGAGCCTCTATAAGCGGCCCGGGGCGGAGCGACCCCTGGCGCCCAGAGTGGGAAGCGCGGGGGCGGGGCAGGCGGAGCCCCCCCCCCCCGCATCCCCCCCGCCACCCCCCCAGCTTCTCGGTTCCTGCCTGTTCCGAGACGATTCTGCAGGGATTCATTGCCCCTACCCTATCCTTACTTTCACCCCACCCTGAGTTTGGTGTTCCCAGAGCCCGGAGGAAGCCGGATATAGATATGGGATAAAAAGGGGTCGAGATATACACACAGAAAGGAGACAGAGGTGGATTCCAGAGCTAAAAAGCGGCCCCCTCACCAAAAGAAAAGCCCACAAACAAACAAGAAGGGGGATAAAAGATAGAAATTCACCACCGCACTCCCCTCAGTGCCGTGACCCAATAACAAACGGTAAAGGCTTCAACGAGTACATGTTGGCCTGAACTGGAAAAGGCAAATTTCCAGCCACCCCCAACCTCGACCCCCGATGTTGGGGGGCGCAGAGCAGCGGAGAGAGTGAGGGAACGAGAGGGAAATCAGATCAGCCTGGGGGAGTGAGCAGGAAACAGACAGGAAAGCAAAGAAGGAACGACAGAGAAATCAGAGAGACAGAAAACCAGATAGAGACGCAGAGACAGAGACAAAGCTTCGAGAAGAGACTGACAGGCCCAGAGGGGGAGAGGGAGAGACAGAGACAGAGAGAGAGAGACAGCAGCCGAGACAGGTTGACAGATCGAGAGAGAAATGTAAATGGCGCGCTGCAGAGAGACACCCAGGTCCGTGTTCGGACTCCAATGTGACATATCAACTGTGGGGAAGATGCGGGGGCGGGGCGGTTCTTCCAACGGAGTGGTAGGCTCTGGGTCTGTGCATTGTGACAGTGCTGGCAAGTGTGGCGAGGCCGTGGGGCCCTGGCCTTGTGTGTTTCTGGGTGAGTGGGACTGTGGATTGTGTGTTGTCTTTGTGCGTGTATGTGTGTGAGGGCTGTTTGAAGGGAGGTGTTTGTATTTTGCTTCCTCTTAGTTCCTAAATGTGGGGCCCCACAGATACCATCTCTCCTATCTTAGGACTGAAGAGTAGAGAATCTACTGGGGGGGGGGACTCAGAAAGCAACTGGAGTCTCTTGCCCTGCCCTGCCCAGGCCCACACCACCCCTGCCAGGGTCCCAGACCTTGTCCGACCCCAGCATCTCTCCCTCTTTCCCTTTCTCAAAAAATCTGTGGTCAGAAGGAAATGCAAAGAAGTTGGACGCCCCCCCCCCCCTAATAAATGTTTGAGGGAGGGATTTGAAGTCAGTTATGCAAATCAACACAACGAAAATGCAGATTAAATGCTGGGCACCCTCCTGTGAGAGGTGACTGTTTCTGTCATTCCCAGCAACCAAGAGGGGACACAAGCTTTGATGGATCCCTCTCTGTGAGGGGTCAGGGTCCAGGAAAAAAGCCAAGTGCCTGCATCCTTCCTTCAGGTCTGTCTGGCACCTCTGGAGGAAATTTCTTGCTCACAAGGGACCCCAGGACCAGAGGTTTGGAAAGGGGGGTTTTGCCAGGACTGGCAAAACTGGGGATGTTTGGAGACCCTGGGGGTGGACAGCTGCAAAGGACCTCTGATTGACTAGGATAAGTCAGAAATGTAATATATAGGAATAAGTTGTGCAAAATGGAGGGTACAGGGCACACCAGGGCATGATTATTGCGTGGAAGGTGATTCCCTTCATCTTGTTTTCTGTACCCTTTTCGTGCACCTCCCAGCCCATAATGGTGCAGGAAGAAATAGGTTGCTGAAGCTGGACCGATTTGGAGGGAGGCCCCTACATGCTTGAAAGGGTTGGGAGAGAAAGGATTGGCAGTCAGTGGGGGAGGGGCCTCCTCCTCCAACCATAAATACAAATTTTATTCAAGGTCTTTGTCGCCATTTGTCTTCCTGGGGGGGGGGGTGGCTGAGGGCCATGTCGGCCCCGTGCATGTCTAATTCCTGAACGGCTCCCCCAGGCTGGATGATGGATGGATCAGAGAGGAGAGAGCAGGCCAGGTCTCACGCTGGCCTACCCTGACCGTCCTCAAACCCCAAAGTCCCCAGGTCCTGCCACCCCTCTCCTGCCTCCTCCCCCCACCCGTGCCCTCCCTCCGCTGACCAGAGGCCCTCACTTCTCAGCCCCACTCCCCGCCCCACTCCTACTCACCGAGGCCCTCTTTCTGAGCCCCTCACCTCAGCCCCTTTCAGGTCCCAGCCCTCTTCTCTCAGGAGCGTCCCTTCTCCCGTCCCCAGCCCAGGCTGTGAGCTGCGGTGACCAGCAGGGCTGCAGGCGGCAGCGGGTCTGTGTGGTGGGGGGGCCGCGGGGGGGAGCAGGCTTGGCTCACAGGGAGCTGAGGGGCCAGCTCCATGAATTTATTCATGTTCTGTTGCTCTTTCCCCACGCTCTGGAATGAAGCTGCCAGCTCACCAGGTCCTTATTGCTTCCCCTGCAGCTGTCACATTCGGCCGACGGAGGACCTGGGTAGGGTCAAGGCCAGCCAGTGCTCCTGGGGCCAGAAGCCAAGAGTCTGGGCTCAAGAGGAAATGCTGAGGGCCAGGCTGGGGTCTGGGACCACTTATCCAGAGCTCCTCAGGCAGCCAAACTGGGAGGTCCCAGGGAGGTGAAGAGGTTAGGAACGGGGAAGTAGGCAGAGAAGAGTGTGCTGCAGGGCAGGGCAAGGGCAGTCGAGGTGGGGACGAGTCTGGTGGGTGAAGGGGAGGGGAAAGGAGGCCTTTAAAATGTCCCCTACACTCCCCTCTTTCAAAGCACAGCCCAGGGGTGCCTGGCTGGGTCAGTCCGAGGAGCATGCGACTCTTGATCTTGGGGTTGTGGGTTCAAGGCCCACTTGGGCGTAGAGCTTACTTAAAAATAAATAAAATAAAAGCACAGCCCAGTCTGAATCCTACCTTAACCTCCACCCTTGACTGCACTAACTGTGACCCTAATCCCAAATTATACACTTGGCTCCTCTCCAATCCTAAAATGAATCCTAACTCCATAACCTGAGCCCAAATGGAACACACCTCTTGTCTGTCTTGTCCTGGAACCCAGGGGTCTCCCAAGAATTTCCCCCTGAGTTTAAAGCCGGGTGTGTGTCAGAGTTCTGAGGACCAGACTTTGGATTAGCATGTGATTAGCATATTATTTGCATGTGATATGTGCCTTCTACTCTGAAGAAGTTTTTGTGTTAAAATTTTATGAAGTCTAGTGGAAAGGTCCTGGCTCCTTGAAGGTTTTCTCTTTTGTTCCTTCTCCCACACTCCTCCTCACTGACCCAGACCCCCTCAAGGGAAGAAGAGGAGTGAGGAGATGAGCAAGAGAGGGCTCATGGGAGGAAAGATCCTCGCCAAATGACCTGTCCCTGTCACTAGCAGGGGAACCTCCACAAGCTCCAGTTTCTTCACTTATAAGAGGAGAGGAACCCACTGACTGATGTCACACTAAGATCTAAGAAAGCACTTTTGTTTTCTTGCACTCTCACCTTTCTCACTTTTCAGGGTAATTCCTAATGTGGCCCCCACCCCCTCACACACACTGGGGCTTCCAGCTCCCACATGTAAGAGCCTTCAGAACTGGAAGCAACCTGGGTTGCCTGGTACCAGACCCCTGGTATGAAGAGAAAGGAACTTTGCCCGCCTGAGAAGACAGGGGATAACATGGAAAGGGAAATTATAAAATTGAGTGCTTGCTGTATTTTAGGGCTTTTTATGTAAGTTCTTTTTTTTTCTTTTCTTTTTTATTTATTTATTCAAGACACACACACACACACACACACACACACACACAGAGAAGCAGAGGCAGAGGCAGAGGGAGAAGCAGGCTCCATGCAGGGAGCCTGACGTGGGACTCGATGCTGGGTCTCCAGGATCATACCCCAGGCCGAAGGTGGTGCTAAACCACTAGGCCATCGGGGCTGCCCTTTTTACGTAAGTTCTTACTGCATCCTCACAGAACCCCTGAGAGGTGAATATATGGTCTCCATTTTACAGATGAGGAAACAGCTCAGAAAGGAGACATGGATTGTCCCCTGTCACCCTGTAAGCGGCAGCCCTGGAACTAGAGTTCTGATCTCAGTGCCCTGGAGAAGAGAAATGTGGCAGAGGCAGTGGAAGGGTGAGAGAAGCAGGGCAGGAGTGGGGAGCAAGATGTGGACGGGTCTCAGGGGACACCTGTGTGCATCAGGCCACCAGGGCTGGGCCCTGGCTGGGGGTCCCTCATCCCGCACCCCAGCGCCGGGGAGCCTGACACACAACAGG